CTGTTTTTATTTACTTCTATTTAATCAAAAGGAATGGATCCAAATATTCATTGCACACCACTGTTTCTGTTACCATTACGTTCAGAAGCTTTAAATAAAATTGTTTCATTAACTAAATCAGATCTTAATTTAATACGTTCTCAATATACACAAGATGAAAAACAAATCAACAATTATTTGATAATGGACATAAACATATTGATTATCAAACTATTGATGCTGGTTATGCTTGTAAAACATGAAAAATGAGTAGAAATATTGATTTATTGTTTAGATAAGAGTTAATCTCAGTTTGAATATTCTAATAAGATTATTTTGACTGTAGAGATTAAATTGATGGTTAACTATTCAGATAGAATCAATTTAATAAATAGATTCCTTCCCCAATTTTTTTTATTGATTAAAAAAAAATTCAATATCATAAAATAAAAGATGAAGAATTATTTTTCTTCATATATTTTAATTAACTGATCAACTAAGAAACGATAAAAAAAACAAACTAGTCTAATTCATTTCAATTTAGATTATTTTGCCCTTTTTGTAAAATTACGTCTACTTCTAGTGAATATACTTGCCTTTTACTAATTTAATAAGTAGATCAATTGATTGATTGGATGCTACTCAATGAATACAAAAAAAATTTTCCTCTCGTTTTTATAAGTTGTGAATAGATGATTACTTTTTCTTGAACGAAATAAGAATGTAAGAAAATATTTCTTCGCTTAAATCAGAATTGATCAATGACTAAAAGAGAAAGATCAATGCACACTAAAATAATATGCGTCTCAACGAGCACGTCGCGTCGTGTGTCTTGCGCTCTTCGCTATGCATATCCAGTGAAGAACGCAAGAAACACGACACGACGTGCTCGTTACGACACATCCTACACATTTTATTTTAGAGCGTATCTTTATATGCAATCCAATTAACCTCGATATATATATGTTATTGATTGAAAAAAAATTTCTTTGATAATTATAGTGTCCTGCCGTCCTAGACAACAAGAAGGCGCTTGAACGCTAGGACGCTGGGACACCAGGACGCTGTTCATTGTAGAGAGAAATGTATATACATATTTCTCTCTATAATGAACAGCGTCCTAGCGTCCCTGACAACAACAAGACGCTGGGACGCCAGGACGCTGTTCACTATAGAAAGAAACATATATATATATTTCTCTCTATAATGAACAGCGTCCTGGCGTCCCAGCGTCCCTGACAACAACAAGACGCTAGGACGCTAGGACGCTGTTCATTATAGAGAGAAATATATATATTTTTTTTCTCTATAATGAACAGCGTCCTACACTCTAAAAAAAATCGGTTTTTTACCGAACCCCTGAAAAAGGTTCCGGAGATTTCTAAAAGCGTCCAAAAGTGTCCAAAGTCTCGAAAAGAGGATAAAAAAATCTACGAAACCTTTATAGGTTCTTACCGTGTACCCAGGATAAGAACCTTTTCCTGCGAAACCTTTTTTAAGTTTCGTATAGCAGAAAAAGGTTTCGTAGGAAAATACGAAACCTTTAGAGTTTCATATTAAACCCTAATAGTTTCATACTAAACCCTCATGATTTCCTCCAGTTTAATACGAAACTCTAAAGGTTTTGTATTTTCTTACGAAACCTTTTTCTGCTGTACGGAACTTAAAAAAAGGTTTCGCAGGAAAAGGTTCTTATCCTGGGTACACGGTAAGAACCTAAAAAGGTTTTGTAGATTTTTTTATCCTTTTTTCGAGACGTTGGACACCTTTGGA